ACAGGTTTGTGAAGGAACATCTGCAGGGATGGTGGGATACAGGCACAGGCTCTGCTCAGGGTCAGCACTGCCATCAGCTTAACTCTTCCAGGGCCACATGAAGCAGCTCCTGCTCATTTGCCATTTGAACAGGCAAGAGAGGAGTTGACAAAGGGAAAAGACCCACACTGGAATTCACACAGGTTTTGTAGACTTCCTCTTTGGGCAAACTATGTTTGCTCTTTTCTTCTTCTTTTTTTTTTTTTTTTTAATGGGGGAGGCGTTCTTGTTTCAGCTGGAATAGAATTATTTTTATTCTTAGCAGAAGAAAACTGGTACTGCTAAGTTCTTCTTAGTGCCATATTTTGGATTTAAAATGAAACTCATGTTGATAACACACTGATGTTTTGGCTGTTGCTAAGTAGTGCCTACACAGAGTCAAGGATTTTCCAGTGTCTCATGCTCTGCCAGTGAGGAGGAGCACAAAAAGCTGGGAGGGAGCACAGTCAGGAGAGCTGACCCAAAGTGGGCCAAGGGATGTGCCACATCACATAAAATCATGCTTAGTGTATAAACTGGGGGGAGCTGGTCAAAAGGTGTCAATTGCTGCTCAGGGATGGGCTGGGCATTGGCCACCATGTGATCAGCAATTGAATTGTACATCACTCATTTTTTCTTCATTTTATATTTTCTTTTTTTTTTAATTACAATTGTTATTAATATCACATTTTGCTTTGCTTCAATTATTAAACTGTTCTTGTCTCAACCCACAAGTTTTGTTTTCTTTTCCTTTTTCTTTTCTGAGTCCCTTGTGTTTTTCCTTTCCCCCCAGGGATGGGGAGGGGTTGAGCAAGCAGCTGCACAATACTTGGGTGCCAGCTGTGGTTAAACAGTTAGGGAAGGGGGAGAAAAGTTGACCTTGGCTTGGCTTACTGTGAGAGGCAGAGAAGAAGGCAACCCTTTGCACTGCCAGCAGCCTTGATAAGGCCCTGGACTGAGCACTGACTCTGTGGCACTTCACCTCTGGAAGTTTAATGCATACCTTCCTGCCTCCCTGGGCTGCACATACACCTCGTGGAGTCCTCCCTGCCTTCCCTCATCTCCATCTTTCACCCTTCTTTGGCTGCATGACACTTCAGCATATGACTTGCTGTGAGCACCAGGAAGGATTTAAACTCTGCAAACATCACTAATTATTTGACTTTTTCATAGTGACAAAGCTATGCTTAATACCACAGCCTGCAAGTAAGGCCTGGTCTCTGTGCATGCACACCATGGTAGCATCCCCCCTCTGACAATGGCTCCTACAGGAACAGGGTTCACACTCGAGACCAGATCTGAGGCTGCCATTGCATGTGGCTTTGATGAGGATCAGATACAGCCATGTTCTCTTGCACACCTCACTCTGGGAGCATCCTCCCCCTCACAGCCCCTCTCTGAACCAACCCACCTGCCCCTGGACAGGCTCAGGCTGCCCCTGTGGCCATGCTGCCTCCGTGCTCAGGTGCCACGTGCTGCTGCCTTGCCAGGAGCTGTGGGTGCAGGTGAGCAAAGCTGTCACAGCAGCTCACCTTCCTGGTGAGTCACCACGCCCCAGTATCTGTCAGTATGGCTGTGTCTGGTGACCAGCCTGAAGCAGCACGGGTGTACCCATGGCACTGGAACCAGCCACTCCCAAAGTCTGGCTGGAATTTTTTTTGGGCGTTGTTGATTTCGGTCAGCACACAATTTATAAGGACTTGTTTTCACCTTGCCTGAATTGTTAGTTTTGGATGGTAACAGTTTTAGAAATGGATGTTGCTGGGCCCTTCCTGTAAGAAAAGAAAAGGCTGCTTGGGCTCCAAACAGTGATTTGGTGCCCTTGTGTTGGGAATTTGCAAAGACCCTGGGCATGGGATGCAAAGCAAAGCACAGGAAGCAAAGAAAGCCTTCATGGTATCTGAGCCTGTCTTGGAAGCTGCTAGTACAGCCCCAAGGGAAGCTGTTCCCAGCCATGCCAATATTCCCAGTTTTGGGCATGCACAGCACCAGGCATCTCCCTCCATCCCAGCCCTTTCCAGACAGCCAATCTGGCCTTCCCAGCTGTGGCAGGGTCACACCACCGGTGACTCTTCCCCAGCTGCTTCTTTGCTTCTGCCAATTAGCCAGAGCAAAGCACTGTTTTCCCCAAGGTCCCAACAAAGGGACTAATCCTTGGCCAGGGGCCTCCTTCCCCATTCCCATCAGCTCTGCACACAGGGAGCGCTGGCAAACTGCTCTGTACTGCTCCTGCAGCTTCTGTCAAACTTCCAAACATCAGGAAGCCTTGCTGAGGAGCATCACAGTGATCTCAGTCCCAGGGTCACAGCTGAGATAAGAAACCTGCTAAGCCCAGGAGAATAAAAGGCACATTTGGCTCCCTAATTTCATCTCTGTTGTGATTTACCCTCAGCAGGCAACCAAATCCTGCACAGCCACTCACTCACTCCCTTCTGGTAGGATGAGGAAGAGAACTGAAATGGTACAAGTGAGAAAACTCATGGATTAGATAAACACAGTCCAAAGGGTAAAACAAATGCTGTGCACATGAGCAAAGAAAAACGAGGAATTAATTTACCACTTTCCATGGGCTGAAAGGTGTTCAGCCATCTCCAGGACAACAGAGCTCCCCTGTATACATTATGGTGACTTGGGAAGACAAACACCATCACACAGAATGTTTCCCTTCCTTCCCCCAGCTTTATCTACTGAGCATGACATTGTATGGCCTGGAATATCCCTTGGGTCAGGAGGGATGTCCCAGCTGTGTCCCCTCCCAGCTCCTGCTGCACCCCCAGCCTCCTCCCTGGCAAGACACTGAGAGAAGCAGAAAAGGCCTTGACACTGTGAGCCCCACTCAGCAACAACAGAAACATCCCTTGTTATCAACACAGTTCCCAGCACAATGCTGAAACAGCCCTGAGCTGGTTACTGTGAAGAAAATTATCTCTACCCCAGCCAAAACCAGCACAATCAGTTATTTTGAGCAGTGGGTTTCCCCTTGAACTTGTGTTTTCCTTTGCAGTTTAGCATGAGTCTCAGTATTCCCTCAAGAGAAAATGAAACTACACACCCAAAATCAACAAAAACAGAGGCAAACCCTTTGTAAAATCCCATGGCTCAGCACTGACCAGCCAAACCCTGGGACTTGTGCTACTAGCACAGGGTTTTCCCACCATCCATTTTCATTCCCTCCCCCTCACCTCCAGCCTCCGTTGCTGGGAGTACACAGCTGCTCAGGCAACCAGATTAGAGGAGTAATCTTCCCCCTCCCAGGATATTTCTAACCCAGTTCACTTCCCTGACCTCATTCCCCAGGTGCTGGTGTAAACAAGTGGACCTACACAAGGCAGGGATCACTACTGTGGGATATGCTTGAGGGATGTGGGATGTTTGGGACGTGATGGATTGCTCCAGAGAGAAATTCCTGCTATGCTGCAGCCTAAGGCTCACCTGAGAAATAGTCTCCAGCTATTAGAAAGCTGACAGAGCTGGAAGCAATGCTTGGTGTTCAGCATACCTGAACAGCTGCTTGTTGGTTGTGTACCAGTCCTCTGAAGTGATAATTATCCTGAAGCCCTCGTACTGTTCAGCCATGTGGATGTATCTATAAAGAGCTATTGGTTCACCCAGCCAAACCTTATTACTTATGTCTGGCAGTCCATACACTGTAATTATTTTGGGTAACCTGGTCACTTACTACTTTCTTAGTAAGAAGATATATAACAGCCATAACTAAACCCAAATATGAAATAGTGAGCCTACATTAAATAGTGGCTCCATATGCAGATTTCCATGCTGAAACATTTAACTGGGTGGGGGAAAGGAGAATGGCATTACAAAAAAAAAAAGAAGAAAAGTCAGTGTAACTTTTTTTAAAGCAAAGGTAAAAGACCCCTAGCAGGCTGCAATTTTGACATGATCTCATTGTTGAAGTATACAGGCATTTGATAAGCACTTGCATAACCCCTAGCCATTGTCTGGTGAGAATAAAAACCTTAATTTTATCGAAGGGAAACTGGGGGAGAGATTATAAACCCACCTCTAGTTATGTGAAAAGCTGCTTCCTACTAATTCTATAAATCTCCTTAAAGATCAAAAGCTATCAGTAAAAGAGCATAAAATTGAACACAGGTCTCTGAAACCAAAGGTGACCATCCAAACCATTAGGTCATGTTTTCTTTAAGTCAGCCACACTGGAAGTCTGATCCCTGAATATCCTGATCACTACAGTCAGTATAAATACTAAGAGGGCTCCCTCACACAGCTCTCCTCCAAGCAACTTGCACCAAGCATTAGAGCAAGTGGGTTATTCCCAACGGTATTTTTGGCAGCAATTAACATCAGGACTGAAGTGCTCCATGCTGTACACAACTACTGTGTATCATCCAGGCAGTCCATAAGCAATGCTGGGGTGTGAGAAGGAGATTCTGCCAGAAATACTTACCATCTATTACCAGAGTCCAAAATCCATCAGCAATCACCTTCACCCTACTTCCCAACAAGTGGGGTGATGCCTGAAGTGTACCTGGGCCATAGTAGGGGTCTTGGCCCAAATGCAGCTGCAGCCCCACGCTGTGCTTGAGGATGAAGGAAGAATGGACACGTCTTAAGGCACTGAGCTGGATTTATTCACTTGACCATATCAGTATCAAACTAGAAATCATGTGTTTAAGACCACGTGTTAGAGAGGAGCAGCATTAAATAACAGACATGAAAAAGAGACTGTGCTTCAGAAAAGATTCAGTGTACAACATACACAGTATGCCATTTAACACAAATGCTTATAAAGAGTCATCCTAAGCATCAGAAAGAGTTTTATAAAAGTTTACGTTCTCATCCCATGGGATGTACAGAACTATGCAGTTTACATAGTTTTACTATCATCCAAAACATCATGTTTCAAATGTATGAGGCACAGCAAGAACAATATAATTCCATTTCCATAGGAACATAAACACTGCTTGTCACTAATGACACGCTTTCCAAACCATAGCACTCAGAGCAATTATACATGTGTACAATTTTAAAGTATTAAAAAGCAAGAGTTTGGAGCCTGCCCACTGTTACCAATAGAGCATTAACATTTGATCTACCCTTGAAAACTATCATAGATACCCTTGCAGTAGTTGTAACATAGTAAGGAAGTCACTGTCGTACTTTGCCAGGGCCAACTTGTTGTGCAAATCCCAAAGGTGACTGATACTGCCATTGAAAGATTCCCTTGACCCACAGAGAAGGGGACAGCCTCCTTCTTAGCTCCCACTGCCCCAGGAAGATGCAAAGTTAAAACACATCTGCAAACAAGTGATAATCTGACTCCACAGACATTCTTAATTTTCATTAAGAATGGCTAGAGGCTGACCAAATCTTAAAGACCAAGAATGACCAAGTCTTAAAGACAGAAAAAGACTGAACCAGTATTTAACTGGTCAAAACAAGGACTTCTTTTTTCCTTTTTTTTTGGCAGGGGGGTGGGGGGTGGCAGGAATGTTTTTTCTAAAGACAGCTCAGAGAGACTGAATCTTACAACCCACATGCTAAATTATATTATATTTTTTCCTGACATTATTTGCAAGCATATAATACAAGTTTTACAAAAGTGCAAGGCCCAGCACAGGAAGATATCCTGGATTAAGACATTCCCAGTAGCAGTGTTCTTTTTGACATCTTCTTGTTGGTCAACCAGCAGACACACAAACATCACTGCTTGGGATCAGCTTATCAGACCCCCTAAGGGTTTAGCTTTATCATCTGTGCAATTAAACACTATTCACATTTGACAGCCTATAATGGCAATAGTTTTATGTACAAATTGGAAAATCAAGTCTTAAAATCAAGTTTTAAGAGGTAGAGGTCCATTACTGACTCATCAACATAAAACGTTACTGAGTCAGTCATATTCCAAGGCTGGTGGTCCCCTAACAATATTGAAGTAACCAGCTAGAGCTCCAAGGTCTATGTAGAGAGATCTTTGTCTCTTTAGCAGGTCTGACTCTTCCATGCTCCCATTACACAATGAGGAATCTAAAAAGAAAATAAAGAAACCATTTACTGCACAAATAGCTGTGTCAGTTCATTTTCATATTTGTCAGTATTAATGGAATATTTTGCCTATTATTTGATCTTATCAATCTGTGGTTTAGAAAATTTTTCAGTACAACATAAGTGAAACCTCAAAGAATATAAAATCTAACAAACCAACCCACAGCTCTAGGACAAAGAAAGGGAAGCAGTTTGCAACTGCAAACAGCAAGTGTGTTCGACTACTTAAAAAAAAGTCTCCATCAGCTGGGACAGTTAGGCAGAGCTTTTTCATCCTCTGAGCTATAGTGCTAAAGGAGAGTTTGGTGCAATAAAAAACCTGATAAAGTTCTGCCATCTGAGAATTCTGCTTCCTCAGAATTTTCAGCTAAACACGGGACATCATCTTTGTCTGGGTTTGACCATAGAGAACAAATACATCTGTTTCAGATTTTTTATTCCTTTTAAATCAAGGTCTGAAAAGACAGATTGGGTTTGCAATGGCAGAATTCCCCTGAATACTTGTATAATGAGTGTCTTGGAAACTTAAGCACCTATAATAAAGTCCAAGTTTAATGGTCCAGCATTCTCTTCATTTTCAAAAGAATTGATTCAGATGGTCTGAGCTGGTCAAAGGATTATGCAAGCCCAAGGCAAAATCCAGAAGGTACAATGCCATTCTAAATTCAGAAACTGTGACTGATTTTTTCAGTGAATTTCTTGCAACAATTATGCATTACAGTACCCAAAACTTTGTACAGATATCTTTTGAAATATTTATTCTAATTATATGAACCACTTGTCTGGGAGGAGTCTTTCAATGCCTTTTGTCAGAACCCTCCTAATGTATTAAGTAAGTAGAAGAAAAGCATTTTGAAGCCTGTTGGCAGGTTGTTGGCACTAAATCTCGCTTGGGCTTGAAACGGCTGTTTCCTACCTAGTTTGTGTATTATCCTTCATTAAGCACTGGCTAATGCACAAGGGCAACAGCATTCTATCCCACAGTCATTTTTAGCTTTAAAACAAAGGGCTTGTACTGCTGACACTCAGTAACATTAGTTATGGTTTTGTGTGTGTGTTTTTCTTTAAAAAGGCAAAAAGTGTTGGATTTGCTGGTGGTTGTTGGACTTTGTCGTTATTTACAAATCAAGAGTGTCTATAAAACCTTTCTAGTACAGTGGCAAATTGAGTCCATTTGGGACAGCAATCTATACTTCATGAAATGCCCTGAGTGATTGCCATGGCTTTTCCAAGAACCAATCCTTCAGGAGCTCACAGAAGTCAGGCTAGGTTCCTCCCCACTGGTCAATGGGCATTTTACAGATCACTTCATGACCTCGGGGTCTGATCTCATCTGATTGGGATTTTCACTGGTCACTCTCCAGATGTGCTGCGAGTTTCGTAGGTTCCTTACCACTCACTCAAATCAAGATTTGACACAAGGTAAAGTCTACAAAGTCCAAGGCAGGTGATCCCATTACCTGTGATATTTTCTGGCAGCTGCAGATCCTTCCTGGCGAGCAGCCTTTTCCTTTCAAACAGCGCCGAGTCCAGGCTCTGGCACCGCGGCTGCTCCTCCGGGGGTGGGTGCAGGGCCTCGTGCTTCAGCAGGTCTGCTGCAGACAGCCTGTGATTGGGGTTCCTGTCCAGAGCTGCTTCTAGCAACTCTCTCATGGAAGTGCTGCAGTCCTCAGCAATATCCTCTAAGGGGGGAGCTTGCTTGTGTATCTGTTGGAATGAAAAAAGACCATGGAAACAGTTATTCCAAAAACAGTGAAAGAGGAAGTCATGGATAACCACATGAGTGGTCTGGGAATTCCCCAGTTAGGACTCATCACCTCCCTAAGTAGGGCTGATCAACTAGAACAGAACATGCAACTACACAACATGCACTTGTTAAAAATCAGATTTTATAATAAATTTAAAAACTCAAAGAAACTTCAAGTAAGCCTAAAATCCAGTGCAAGGCAAATTCACCAGATTTCTATACCATACTGGAAGAGTCAGAGAATCAAATCTGCCAGGCTACAGTTTTTATCTGCAACTTCTAAGGAAAACAGACAAGTAGAAGTCAGATGGGCTTGTTTCAATCAGGTCTCACACTGATCTAACCCTGTCCTTCCAGTAAACCCAAGGCCTGTAAATTGAAACACAAATCACAGAGACAACTCCAGCTCAGTCTCTGTCTTCCCCTAAGAGATCAAAACCCACTTCTCTCCCTCCCTCCCACCCCCGAAGCAAAAAGGATGATATCATCTCTCTGACAAATATTTTGATAGTTCTTATACAACTGGAGCTTTCTCAACAAGACTACAGGAAACCCTGCAGCTGATACTGAGCTGGCTCTGCTAAGGACACTCACAATGTAGAGGTAGGAGGGGTATGCAGAACGAGGGTATCTGTTCACCCACGGTGGGATGCCCGTTTGCATATGAATAATAGTAGCTCCCATGCTGTAGATGTCTGCTTTTGTTGTGTGGCCTCTGCAAAGGATAACTTCAGGGCTCATGTAAATCTGTGAAAAATAGTTAAAAAAAAAAAGATTACTCAACAGGGGAAAACAACAATCAAAGATGACTCAATGGCATTTTGTGATCCTGGAAACCCCACTCTGAAGGGATGCATAGTAGTGAACCTGCAAGCATCATTTAGGAAATAAGATTGTTCTGCTCTGTATATGAGTACAGCCAAAGAGACAGCACCTGGACAAACTCATATTCCAGGTTTGCCCTCCTCAGACAGGCCATAGGTCAGCGGCAATGGGCCTTAGCTGAGCTGTGAGAGGCTGAGGTTCAAGCCATGGCTCTGCTTTGTTCAGATGAGTAGCAGAAGCCTCATCCCTCCACAGCAAAAGGAGGTTCCTGAATTGCCAGTTTGTTTTGTGAGGCATTGCTGGGACTGCTCCATCCAGCTCAAACAATGGCTGGGCATGTGCTAAAGAGAGAGGGTGAACTGTACTGAGAGCCACCCAGATGGGGGTAGGAGTCCTCCCCTCAGATCCCTGTTACACAGAATACTACACAACCCTTCTGAGCAGAACTGACAGATATATACCTTCCTGTCTTCTTTACTCCTCCTTCTTATCCACTAACCTGCATGATGGAGCATTATCCTGAGACATGGGATGATGAGGAACAAGACAGGTCTAGGCAATGGATAAATTAAAAGTTAGGTGGCCTTTGCACCAGATTACCCCCAGAGCAGCTATGAAGACAAGAATCCCTCTTCGAACCTTTTCCCAACCAAAAAAATTCTAATCTTTCTTGATGGAAAGTGAAATAGTTTCCATCCAAACACTTCACTGAACATTTGAATTTGCCAAGAGTCTAAAGAAGGATCTTGGAAGCTCCTGCCAGCAACAAGCAGCTCAGAGTGCAGCTGGAGGAGAACCAGACAGGCAGGATGCAGGAGGCACACCCTGCACAGCTCTGCCACTGGCCAGGGGAGCAGGTTTCAACACCACATGGGCACAGCCCACAGCACACTGGGTTAGCAAGCTACCACATTTGCTTCTGGTTCCTACTTTTCCCTCACCCAATTTCCCTCTAAAGGATTCAAACAAACTTTAATTAGTTCAAGTCATCCTGACACAAAGAATCACATTAAAAGCCATTAACTGACACAAGGGCAGGAAATTAAGTCATCACCACATGGTTTGACTGCTTATTACCACAGATTGAGAACGGCTGTAGGGCTCACCAAATTCCAAGGAAAAATTCCCAGTAAATTACATTCCCTATCTGCAAATAGAACTTGTGATTGGAAGTGTGTGCAAAGCCTCAGCAGGTGTCTGCAGCTGCTACTGACTTATCCATTGCTTTTCTCAGGGCTACGAGACAATCAGTGCATCTGCACCCTTCACCTTTAAGTCTCATAAGGAGAAAAGAAGTTCTTATTTTGTAAAAAGAAGCCTTTGGCAAATACAGTGCAACTTGAGTGAAATCTACATAAGCAAGAAGCAGCTGCCTTCAAAAAAGAATGCTGGTACAAGGTCCTGTCTGCAGTTAAGGTGAGAAAATGGTCAAGATGCACCTTGACTGCACAATGACAAAAATCAAAAATGAGCTCCAAAGCTCTGATTTCAGACTGGTCTAAAGTCTGCTGTCACCAAAGCAGACAGCTCAAGCCATTAATAATTTCCCATTCTCATTCCTTCTGACTGGTGGGCTGGCACTTGCCTGCCAGTCAGACCAGTCACAGTCTAGCTAAAAACCAGTCCTTTCTTCATGCTGCACTAGTTTTAGTTTAGCATTCCTGAAAATGAATCATACCTTCCACACTCAATAAACTTTAGCAGACAACTTTTTACCCTCAAATGGTTATAACTGAAGCTTACATATTTTAACAAAGTGACAGAAGCATAACAGAAAGTATAGCAACTGCCTAGGAAAAGTATTTCCTGCAGAGCAGTTTCATAACAACCACAGTTTAATGTTCTGCATGACTTGTACACAAAAGCAGGAACACCATTTTTTTTCACACTACACCATCTAAACAAAATTTAACTATCTTTCAATCCCATTGCCCAGAATTGTAACTACTCATTTTTTAATAAACCCAAAGAAGATTCTCTACATTCAGACTTCCTGTGCTATAGAAGTGAATAGAAATCCTAACTCCCAGAGAACATGCACAGGACAAAGGTTACTCCACCTGCCACTTCCCTCAAGGACACAAGTCCCTGCCAATAGCAGATGTAAGAGAAACCAGCCAGCCCACTGGCACAATGCTGCTTGGCAGTGACAGAGCCCCAGCCAGGGGTTGCACAATTACCTGCAGGAACAGCAGGACAACTGCACCACTTCTTAAGGCTGCATAATACAGGGTGCAAAACTCAAGAGAACTTTGCAGAGTTAGATCTCTGAAAAAAAAAAATCATCAAGAAAGCCAGACTACAGAGGGCATTTGTGGGTGACAGGATTAGGCACTGTGGAGAGGAAGATGCCTAGAATGAAGACTGTGAACAGAAAAACCTATAGAAGCACTAGAAACATTAGCTGTCAGTCTTTCACTGGTATCTGAAAATCTCCTTTCCCAGTGCTGTCTTTCCAACCTCATTTCTGGCTGCAATGCTGCAGCAGGACTGCTGCTCCCCTGAGACAGCAAACCCCAAACATGGCTGTATTTCAGGGCTGGGGGGATTATCAGCTCTCTGAGAACAGACTGCAGGTGTTAAAGTGCATGGAATTCTCCTCCTATTAAATGAAAAATTAAGTAGTTTTTCACTTGGCAAACACTGAAATGTTTTCACTTGTTCTTACTAACACAACCTTGACCTGTCCTTCAAGACCCAGAAGTGGATCCTCACTAGTCTGCTCCACAATCATGGAAATGTCCTGTTTACACACATCTCCATCACTGGGAAATACCCTACCAACTCATACCCACCACTGTTCCTATTAACAGCACACAAAACCCCCTTGAACAAACAAAAAGCCCCAAACCAAAGTAAAAACCCCACAAAGCTCATGCATGAAGTGCCAGAAAGCACACTGCTTCCAGTTCAGCAAGCATTTTAAGCTCTTAACTGCCCTGACAAGAAAGACAGTGAAAACAAATATTCAAGTGCTTTCTCAAGCATCTTGAAAAAAATAAACAAACAAACCTGACCTTCTGTGAAATCTTGATTTATCCTCCCCTTCTAAAAAGTGAAATGCTTTTTGTCAGTTACACAGGGATTTCCTCTTTACACATGTGGAAGACTATTAAAAGGGTAAGTGCAAACATCTCAGCTAAAGCATTTCCTGTAAACAATCTCCTCCAGCAACAGAGAGCACAAATGCCACATCTGCAGCAGCTATCCAAGCTAATTGTTGCTGCTTGGTTGTTTGCTAAAACTCCAACCCTGGAAACACCTCTGCAGGAATGCAGCCTAAGTGGTGTGCAAAATCTCAAAGTCACTGAGACCATTTAAAAGGACCCCACCTCCATCACCGTAATGTCTAAGCAATTTTACCAGATAATCATGAACCTTGCCATGCACAACCTCTGCAGAACCAAAGCTTACATGTAGATGGGGAACAGAGCTTAGAAGGGCTAAGAGATGAAACCCAGACATCTGTAAGTTCTGTGGTTTTGAAGGAGGAGGAATCCAAGTACGGTGCAGAACAGGTCACCCCAGTCCATAGTGAGTATCTCAGAAGAAATCTTTGCTAGAGCAAAGTACAAATTCCTGTTTGAAGTGTCTCTGATCAGCAGCTGAACCACTGCAAACAACCCTCCTCAGAGTACTGTTTGACTTCAGTGAACAATTGCTAACAATTGAAACTGCAGAGAAAATGACATGGCTTTCAAAGCATTTCATTCAGCAAGTTGAAAATAAAAATATAATTGAGACTCCATTAATATTTGTAAGTTTTTTATAGGTTTTATAGTAACTATTTTACTAATAGTATATCCTCCAGCTTCAAATTTGAGCCTAAACACCACAACCATAGGACTAATGCAATGTAAGGGCTTTTGTCCCTTCAGCTTCTTACCTCTGTTCCTCTAAGATCTTTGGGATAGTAAATATCTTCAGTCATTTGAACACTTAGGCCAAAATCCACCAAAACAGCCTTAGTTGACATAAAGACAATGTTGCTTGCTAAAAGAAAACCAAAAATTGCATCATTTAAGCATCTGGCATGCTTGGTATTTATTTTACAACACCCCTGTTTCATTCAGATGCCTGCCTGAAAAGGGAGAGAAATTCGTACAACCACTCTCTACAGCCAATATCCCTCTAGCCAAAATAGGTCTGGTAATGATTTGGTTCAATTTTAAATCATATCTTAAAAAACAAACTGATCTACTTTATGTAAAAGAGCCAATGTTTTGTCATTTTTTTAGCTTAAAATTTAAAAAAAGACAAAGAGAGAAAACAGCTGAGGGTAGAGGAGGAAGGCAGAAGACTGGTAGGCACCACAGCACAGTGCTCTGAAGATGTTTAAGGGTCTCCAAGAGAGAGATCATGCTGTGTAGCTCTGGCTAGAAACAGCACAACTGTTGCTCACCAAGAGGTTTTTCTAGAGTAGCAATTTAAGTGAAGACAGAAACAGAATAACCAGAGCCCCTCCACAGCAGCCACACCAGTCACCTGCACTGGTCCGTGAGAGCAGCTCAGCATGACAACAGAGGACAGACAATGGCTGTAAAATTATTAGAAGACTGAGCATTTCAAACTCCCTCAGAACTGCAGCAGTATCTAGGAGCTTAATTTACTTTCCTTCATAAAATTCTGCCTAAGGCACAACTTTGTACTCAGAGGCTTTGTTTGCAGCTGTATTTCTGATCAAATATTTAAGAATGTAGTGCTCAGTGTGAGCCTTGAGAAATTCTTGTTTGCTGTTTCAGAAGATGTGGTAAAATGAAGTCTCCAAGTTACACAACAAAAACACATTTCCCTTACAGGAAACTGTGGGCCATTTTCTGTCTTGATAGTGCCTACCATGACCACCCAGAGGGAGGGCAGACTTGATTTTAGCAGTACTGATTCCTGGAGCAATGCTTCACACAGCTGCCTCCTTACCAGCACTACAGACTATGTAAATCTGTCATTTTAGGGATAACTTTGAAGATATGGATTCGAAACACCCCATAATAGATCATCCAAAGGGCCATACTGCCACAGTGCAGCAGGATCTGCTTACTGCCTGGGACCATACCCAGCCCCAGCTGCAGCTGATTTTGGACTGAAGCGCCCCCAGCCAAACAGCCTGATGGTTTAACTGCTCTCCAACCAAGGGTTAAAAGGAGAGGCAGCACTGAACACCTCCCAAGAACCAGAATGTCTTCCTCCCCTTCCTTGTTCAGGGCATTTTTTACTCTCAATAAAATCCTCATCTTCTGTATCAGCAGAACAGACTCAATTGCAGCTCAAAAGCAGCAGATGGAGTGAGGAAAAAATCTGAGGTTTTGGGAAAGAGTCTTTTCTATTCATTCCACCTGGGGAGGGAAAACACACACTGCTCCCTGCATGGATGCTGCCTTGCCAGGCAGTGGGCATGGCTCCACCTCAGGCTTGGTGTACCCAGCTCACCCTGGCACCAAACAGGCAGGACCATGGCCAGGGCTCACCCCAGGCACCCCTGGGCAACCACATCTGCCCCAGGCAACCTCTGCCTCATCATCTGCCCTGCATCCACCAACACGGGAAAAGGCTGGAAAAAGTGAAACACACTCATATCCACCACATTCACAATGGGCTGGTTCTCCTATTCACTACCTAGATGTAGTAGGCTTTGGGCTGGTTTGGTTTTTAGATTGTTTAATTAATATCTTTGTTACTGCCAATTAAAATAAACCCATAGGAAAGACTCTTACTACAAATGAGAAAGAAAAATAAAGGGAAAAAATAAGCAATTTTGTAGCTGTCAGACTCTCAAAGGCTTACATCTAAAGTACTGACCCATACTAAATTAAAAAAAACCCAAAACCAAAAATGCAAAACTGAGATAAAAATTTAGCAATTCCTAATAGTTCACTTCTGTGAACTATTGTAATGCTTCAGCCTGAATATTTCTACTATAAACCCTCAAGTTTAGCTAAATAAACTCACAGAGATGCATCTATCTGCAGGCCAAGATGGTACTGGGAGAAACAGCATTTAATACTAATTTAAATGCAACACATTAAAATTGAATTTTAAAGCATTTTAATACCAGTGTTTTTAATTTGGACTTAATATTAATATGTTTGATTATTTATAGATGTAATATCCAGAGATTTTTAAAAGCAAACATATATTAAAATTTGCTGTACTTGTTGAAAGAAAAAGAACAGCACAAATTATGTATTTACTTCTAAAGTGTCTCAAACTGAGGAACAGCAGTGTAGAAATGCAAAACCTAAAAGAAGGTGCAAGATGAAGGTGAGCATGGAAACATTCAGGATGAATTTATATTAAGAGCAGGAAACTTCCAGCTGAACACAGACTGATAACTTCACTCTTTAGGTTTTTATTTAAATTGAGTTCCTCATCAATGGCATAGGATCTATGACTTTCTAATTACCCTCTCTGCTGGAGTGAATTAATAAATAGTGTCAGTAACTATTACCTCCAGAACCTGACCTTGCCATTTGTTAGGCATTATCCATCCCTCTCACTCAGAGATGTAAGGCTGTGTGCCCCAGCTCAGTCCCAGGGACTCTACCAGGACCTCAGCCCAGCCAGGACCAGAAAGCACCCCAAGGAACCGCACAGACGTACGTTTGATATCATGGTGGATAATCCTCTTAGAGTGGAGAAAGTCAAGTCCTTTCAGAATATGCTTTGTCACCCAAATTATTTCAAACTCTCTCATAGGCCCACAGCTCTCCAGCTTTTCCATGACAGATCCTCCCTCTCCAGCTTCCATGAAGAGATGGATTGTCTCATCCCACAAAATAGCGCCGTATAATTCAGCAATGTTTTCATGACGGAAACATGCCTGTATTTCAACATCTGATGGTTTGAACTGCTCCACTGGGACCTAGGACATTGGAACAAAACCACAGTTATCCATAACAAAAACAAGCTATCCATGTGGGCCCTAATTATCCTATAGATTAACAGAAAAGAAGGAAGTATAGCACTTGTATCCACTTGTTAAAATACTGAGCTTTACTTTGCTCCTGTGACTTTTCTTCCTTTGCAGCTGAGAGAAATCCTGGTAAAAGTTGAGAGACATTTTGGAGTCATGCCCAAATAAAAAGTGCAATCTTCCAGAAAAAGCAGTGTAGCAAGAGTTATTCCCGTCAAAATCCAGTGATTACGCAAAAGCTTTATGCAAACTTCCTGGTGAAGGAGATAAAATTCCCACTGCTTTTTCCATTAGCTTTGTGCACTCATCTGCACTACCAGAACTACACACCCACCTGACAGGTGGATCAGTGCTTGCAGCGCTCAGGCCCATTACTGACCTCCTTATCAGCACTGGTTTATGGCTTACAAGAAATGAAAGCTGCTTTGAAGGGAGTGCCAGCAGCACGGTATTTCTTTAAAAAGTACTGGCAGCAGATTGCTGAGACAATAAAAGCAGTGTTTGCTTACACACAGAAAAGCTACTACTGCTCTGTTTAGTTTTCTTCCCTTGGACTTGTGTCTGTGAACCAAATAAGAGGCTCATTTTTTTCAAGGAGAAATACTGTTTGTATTTTCAGAAATATTAGGATACTTTAATTCTGCTGTGGGCTATGCAGGAGCAGCTAACAATCTGTCCCCACATGGACACACAGGCTGCAGGGGAAGGACACACAGCTGCCTGCCCAACTCTTAGACACACAGAATTAATACAGGTACTTATTCATGAGTGGGGGGATATAGAGCAGTGTCCCAGCTGAGCTTTTACTGGCCCTGAATATTTACTGCTCAATTCCAAATAGTATGTTAAAAGACACAGCTGAAAGAAAATGTTGGCTTGCATAAAAGTAGGACAGTGCTCAGCAGTTCTTTTGAGGCATCTCACAACCTTAACCCTGTCAGTGCCCAAAACACAGTAAGAGTTGCACATACTGAGTTCTCAGGGACTTTAATGGCACTGGAGTAAAGAAAACTAAAGTCTGAGCACCTCAGTTAAAGGACAAGAGCCTAAAACTTCTGCAGCAGCAGGGTTTTGCTACCCCCTTCAGCAGGGACAGGATCACACTCTGATATTTCACACCAGCAGGACAAGTAGAAAATCCACTCTACACAACAGGCCATGTGCCAGTTCCCCACACTTCTAGATATTTCCAAAATGCTGAAACATTTGCAGCTTTTTAAACAAGCGAACAGAAGTGTACATTTTCCCCACCTTGTTTAGGCCAACAAAACCAAGATGATCATCAGCCAACAGTGGAATTTGATGCAGACATATTTAAAAATAGACCATAAGTAGTATGTTATACAATATTTGCTCAGAGATAAAACCACTGAGCTAACATACCAATTTGCATGCCATTCGTTTCTTGGTTTCTCTGTCTTGGGCTAAGTACACTTTCCCAAAAGCTCCCCGAGGAATAAAGTCAGAACCAATATTCCTGTAAGTCAACTTCCATGGAAACAGGAGCACATCTGAGTCAATTTGATAGCGCCCGTTCTTGGGTGTGATCTGGGAAGTTAAATAAATAACAAAAAACCACAGTGAAGTTAAAACCACTACAAATCTAATTAATTTTATATATATAGTGGGAAAAACCCCATATCACTTATGTGTATGATGCACATGATCTGCTTAGCAGTCTTTATTTAGTAACACTAAATGGGAACAGCATGTGAGGTGTGGCATTCATTCACAGCCCAGGCATCCACGTTTCTCTCCAGTGACTAACTTATGAAGTGTAAGTTGCAATTAATTGTCTTGAAACAACAACAACAGCAGCTGGGTTAATGAAATTACCCACCTCTTGTTATTAGATTTACCTGAACATGTTTGTCCTTCCTGTAATCTGTTAACTTGTTATGCCACATACCTGTTACTCATAGGTTATCTTATACAATGTGAGCCAGAGTTTCAGCATTTCCTAATATCACATGTACTGCTAAGAGTTTAATTTCCCATCTTATGCTGGAGTTTCTGCTGCTTAGTAAAAGGTCAAAGAAGTCTGCCTTGATTTTACCAGCCACTTTCCTCTAGTTTTATACCATAGTTTAAAAAAGAAGAGTGGGAGTAACATTGCCTCCTTTAGGTGGGTAATGTTGGGAGCTTTGCATCTTGTGTATCACCAGCTAGGCAAGGAGGGGATTCAGGGCACCTAGGTCAGTATCTTGCTCTAAATCTTTTTCCCAAACAGTTCCCTCCCTCTGCACGTGACAGAGAGAGTCCAAACGCCCAACTACAGCCATGTGAGTACTGCTTGATCCCTCATGCTGCTTCTTCAGTCTCTCAGCTACAAAATTAATATTATTTCCTATGAATATGCTTGTAATTATTTCAGCCAGTATCTGGAATACCATTAATCTCCTTAATGCTACTTTATTAAGATTCTTGAAGAGATGTAAAATCACATCAAGGATATTTATCATTTCATGTCTGTCACATGGCCTCCAATACTCAGCTCTTCAGCTGCTCTTTTTAAGATAACAGCATATCAGGAAGATTATTTGTTTTAGATTTCTATTTAAGGTATAACATATTATCTTTCACTCTTAATCTACCTGCATGCTTTTCAATAAGGAAAGTACCTTATTGACTGCTAAAATTGTCATTTGTGATTTGTGCTACATGAAATAAATTAATTCTTCTAAGTTCCTAAATCTGGGGAGGATAAGTTCTTAACCTTTGACCAAGGGGGCATGGGGGGCTGTCCTTCGATAAAAAGTATTCTGCTTAGGATAGAGAGAACAAGCCTTCCCTCTAATTATTAGAGCCAGGGTAAGGCAATCTGTACATGTCTAGCATCTTGCTTGCCTACTTCTGCACTTCAAAGGGTTGAGACTAATCCATATGGGTTACACCTTATCCTGGAAAGGAAGAAACGCCGAGCAGAGCTGATCTGGAGAGCAAGACAGTGAGAACCACCACACTACTCATGTTTTCAGGAGGCTTTTAGGACTAGTTCCTAGCCTGACCCTGTGAACATTTGTCTGTGGCTGCAACGCATCTTTCAGCTCAGTTCTAACTAGAAGAAATCCAGCTTGTGCACTTCAAGACAGCCATGGTGCAGCCAGTGAGGATCACCAGGCAATCAGAAACACTCCTGACCCCAACCAAAATGCTGTAGGAATTTCCAGAGCAGTGCCCCTGCTGAAATGCATGTACAGGTAATACCCTGCCTCCAACCCTCAGTTGCATAATGGGATCACGTGCACCTAATAGTACTGGGTTCATACCAATTGTATGCATCTGTAGAAACAATGCAAGCAAAACAACCACAGTATGTAGAACAGTGCCTACCCTAAGCATAGGAAACATTTAATATTACCAAGTGTCATTTCAATGTTACAGAGTTGAAAAGTGATTGTTTTGCAATACTGCAACGCTCCCTTCAAATCAGAATAAAGCAATACCCTGTGGTATTTTGCACCTAAGTAACCAGTAAGCCTCAAGCAACCAGTGATCATATATAAAATATATGATATGCAGGATATTTAAGAAGATAGATGTAGAGTATCTTAGGAAAATACAGCAGCAACACTAACATGCATGAACAGAATTCCATTGCTACACTGATTGATTCCAGAGCAACTGATCTTAAACAAAAGTTTAATGACACGAATATCCAGAAATGCTTGTAGAACACAAACAATTTTAGGGAAAAAAATAACATCTCAAAACAACACATCTATGTACTTGAATTTAGCAGTGTGAGATATTACATAATATTTTGACTCTTAAAATCACACTTGATACTATGTGCTATTTCTCCTTACATTACTACTATTGACATTTTGTGCAGATAGAGTAAATTTAGGAACTATATTGTCAGATCCTAGATCTTTATTTTTGGGAGTTTGCATAATGAACATTTTACTGCATGAATATAAGGCATTAGAAGACTCTTACTGTCTCCCAGACCTGTAAACCATCATAGTCCATAGAATCATAGGTAGGCTTTGGTTGGAAGGGATCTTAAAGATCATCTAGCTGTAACTCCCCTACTATGGGAAGAGATGTCACCCATGAGGTCAGGTTGCTCAGGGCCCCATCCAGGGGCCTTGAACACTTCCAGGGATGGGGTATCCACAATTTCTCTGAACAGTCTGTTCCAGAGCCTTACCACCCTCAGAGTAAAGAAATCTCTACACTTTTAGTTTAAAATCATTCCTCCTTGTCTAATCACTACACACACTTTTTAGAAGTCACTCTCCCTCTTTTTTGCACAAGTTATGGATTTTATAAGCCCCATTTAAGTACTGAAAGAACAAAATGAGCTGTAGATTTTGCTTTTTTACTGCTTGTCTCAAGTTTGTATTCAACACTGGGAAATGTTTTCTGACCTCCAGGGATACTAGGAGATAACAGAGTGGATCCTTCTGAACAACAGACTCCATAGCTGCCCGAGACTGCAGGGGCTAGACTTGATACGCTCAGAGACCCTTCCAGTCCCAGGGTTGCACCTGGAGCTGAGCTTTATTTAGAATCATTAAAAACTTCTAATTCCTACAGTCTATGAAATGCCAAGTAAAAGGAAAACAGATGTACATACCATATTCAAGAGGATTCCAGATTCCTGTTGTCTGCATCCTTTAAATTGCTTTGCAGTGTTAGACACCTGATTGGCAAAAGCAAGCAGGTCTTCCACAGTCCCGTATTTGACAGAGGACATCAAAGAGACCTCCCCTTCACAAAACAGTAATGATTCTGCACGTTCATCATTTTGATTTGCCTCTTCACACATGGTAATTAAGCTGTCTTCATAGACTGCAATGTCTTCACCTGGATAATGGTTTTCCATGATGGCTATCACCTCAGACATATTTAGATCAGCTAGCAACAAGTCAATCTCCTCTTTGCTATCACTACCCGTGCTCATATACTCCATTACTGTCCACTTTGCAAAATCACTCCTGGAAAAAAAAGAAACAAACTTGAAAACACTTTTCACCTAAATTTATTTTAGCAAAGTAAGAATGAAAAGGAGTTATCAGAAGTGACCAGCAGCTCATCATTATACAGATTTAATATTAATAATTTGTATTATGAAGAAAATCATAATTAGGATCCTGGGTGAAGACAAAACAGAGATGTATTTGCTAGTCAAATTTATTTAGAAGTTACTAGTTAACCTCCCCTGTCACTCACTCCCAGAATTTTTTATGATAAAGCTTTCCCTAAGAGGAACAGGTTCAGTAAGAATAAACCACTGTGATAGATATGCAAAAATGAAGGAGCACCCTCAATACAAACAAAGGAATTCATTGTTTAGAAAAGAATGACAAAGAGAGATATTAACATTCTCATTTAGTTATGTCTAAGTTTGTATTGACAATTTATGTGATGTATCCAGAAAGAAGGAAAGGTCACAAAGAAGGTCATTCCACTAGTAATAGGCATCTGTTAGTATCATTGTACAGTGCACAACTGTCACCACCTGAGATACAAGATCCATATTTTTTTTGCAATTAACTTGTCAGAACTAGACTTGAACTGAAATTTTCACCCTGACTTTCAAAAGAAAGTCAGAAACTGAGCTATCATAAAAGCAATGAGCTTTAGAAGTGGTTTCCAACACTTTGTTCTGTTCCCACTAATCCTAACAATAACTTTTTAGGTTACTATTGCAACTATTTTGCTGGTATGGATTTACAGCAAGCTGGGTTCAACTTCCCAAAAAGTCCCTTTCTATTCCAGAGAGTTACATATTCAAGTTTAAAACGTATGCATGGTCAGTCATTAAAATACTGACACAAATAGTTTCCAACTCATAAATATCAAGAGCACTTACCTTGTATTTAACCTGATTACATCACTCAAAACCATTTAAAAACGTCTCAATAGAATCCCTGAAGTCATCACGTTTTTCTGAACCCGTATTTACCACTGATGATAATTTCACAGTGTTCTGTGGCAGTCTATTAAAAAAAGCAAAACAAATAAAGCCATTGCATACCAGCTCAAGCAGAAGGACTGGTTTGTACTCATATAGATCATTTGCTTCACGGAAAGAAGAGCTAGTAATCACAAGGCTGAGATAACAGGGGATTTTTCTGCAGAAAACAATGACAACTCAAGAAAGAATCAAGCTACTGTATCATCCAGATTTCCAAGTAGTAGTGAAAAATAGTTTTTCCATGGTTAGGTCCTGAGTTTTAGCCTCTCTGTCTCATGCTTGCTTAAGCAAAGAGTAGGACCTGCTTTTCCTTTAGCAGAACTGACTACAGCATGCCTTCTTTAGAGAGCTCTCACTTCCCTTTTTCGTAATCCACTGCACCATCTATTTTGGGCAAAAGATAACAACTAGGCAAAAAGACACTTTGAAAAAAAAAAGGAAAAAATGAAAAACATCAAACAAAACCTTATCTCAAGGACAAGCAGCAGACTCGGTCCCCTGAGGCCATGGAGCAATGTGTTTACCCAGGTACAGTTTCTGATTATGATCACTATCTTTCTTACCCCCACCACAAGGACGCAGAAGCTTTGTGGCACATATTTCTCATGGGTTAGAGTATTTACGTCAGCTCTAATGTGAAGAAAACCAAGTAAAATGACGTGTCTGAGTTGGCAAAGAAGTCAGACCACGTGAATTTGAGAATTCAAAAGGCAGGACAGGACAGCAGATGCAGCATCAGAAAAGGGAAACGGACTGCCTGTTCCTTTACAAACTCAGACCCAAACCCTGAGAGTGACGGTGGCAGAGCAGTTCTCTGCCAGCCCCCATTCCCCAAGATGGGCACAGTGACTTTCACCAGCCCTCTGCACCAGTTCACCCAGCCCTGATCAACCCACACCCCCAGCACTAGGGCAGCCAGGTTGGAAACTTTGTGGTCACTAGCACTACTTGATTGGGGAGGCCCCAGGCTTCATATCCTGGGTGCTCAGAGAGATCACAAAAAGGAAAAGATGCTGAGGGTGTTTTCTAGCCCCTATCACCTCAATTTGCTCCATGACCAAGCTATAGGCTGTTAACAAAGCCTGAATGAGGTTATTTTTCAATAGAAATGAGATTTCTATTTTTCCCCAGAGCAAGACTTCTATTCACTGATTTGTTGGTTTTTAGGGTTCTTTTTTTTGCCTGGTTTGTTTTTTTTGTTTTTTTGGGTTTTTTTTAATGCTGAATTAGTGGGGTTCAAATGAAAAGAAACAGTGCTGTCATAAAAGGAACCAAGAGACCTCATGTGTAAAGTGAGGTAAAGTTACAAACTAGTCCTGAGGGACTTTCTGAAGAAAAACATGAGCCTCTAGATGCTGTGGTCTTTTGTGGATAAAGACAAATATGTGCCACAGTTAAACTAATTTACCCTCTGACAGCATTTTCATGCACAAAGCATCTATACAGATTAGACCAAATGTAGCTTTCTGGAAGTGCCAGCTCTGCTTCATTCCTCAAAATGTTCCCAAACTGGAACACAATACTAATAATACTCTTGGCAGTTTCATGATTACTCAAAAAGTTCTGAATAACATGAAGAAGTGACTATAACCTTCATTTTCTCAGTTCTTTTACTGCTTGAGAAAAGCTTCAAACCCTTCACCTTTACAACTACCTGAAAGGAAGAGGTAGTGAGGTGGGAGCTGGTCTGTTATCTCAAATAAAAAATGAAGGAACAAGAGGAAATGGCTTCAAGTTGTGCTAGGAGAGGTTGGATACTAGGAAAAATTTCTTCACTGAAAGAGTTGTCAAACCCTGGAACAGGCTGCCCGGGGAAGTGGTGGAGTCAGCATCCCAGGGGAGATTTAAAAGACATCTATGTAGACATGACTCCGTTTAGTGGTGGGCTTGACAGTGCTGGGTTGGACTTGATAATTTTACAGATCTTTCCAACCTAAATGATTTTATTTTTCCCTATATCTAGCAAATTCTAATCACTAACTGTTTACACAATAAAAGCAGTGTTTAGACTATAAAAGCTGATTTTATAAATTATGCAGCAATTTAGTACTATATTTTCCCTACAGACAAAAAAAAAGGTCCATTTTCCAATGGGGAATTCACTCCACCTATTTATCTCTAAAATCCTGTACTAGTATCAGTGGTGGGCACTCATGTAGTATTCTAAATCATCCTATATAATCTAGATTAATGAAGAAATGACATCACTATGTATGCTTTACTTAGCTTCTCAGCTAAAAAAATGGGTTTACCTGCAGTGGAAAAATAAAACTGCATGCAAGCACTTAAGTCAGTTGCTAAAGCACAAGACTCTTTCTCCAGTTTTGCCAATATTTCAACATCATCACATGAGTAATTTGTAAGTCAAAGGTTTATTTCTCTATCCTCTGCGTAGCTTTTCAACCCCTTTTGCCTAGGAAGTGTGCTGCCAGAGACCACTCTCGTATCCATCATATTAAATAAGAGTAACTGGATACCAGACTTCTGAGCCCCTGTGAGACTTTTTGTGTGTCAAAGGTCAATGATGGAAAAAATGGAACAAAATCTACAATAAAAATAAAATTTAAAAACCAAGACCACACAGACAAAAAACCTCAACACCCCTTGCCTCCCCCAAAAAAGTTAATCACTAACTGCATAGACTGGCTCAACACAATCATACACTCATAATAAAGATCTCTTGTGCTGCTTTTAGAAAATAATTTTCTGGTCTAAGTGACAAGTGACTGCCCACTAGAAATGAAAAAAGTCCTTATTTACTTTTAAGAAAACTTATCGACAGAACTTGAAAAACACAATCCCTCTGAAAAGAAACTTCTGCTGTTAAGGAACAAGAAATATCAACAATTTCAATTTCAACAACATTTCACATATTCATTTGGAATAAGAAAACCCGCGACTCTCCCAGCGCTGGCAGCAGCAGCAGCAGCAGAGCCCAGCCCCAGCCCCTTCCTGCCCTGCAGCCCCCGGGGACAGCGCAGGTGCCGCAGCCCCGCCGGCTCCCCCGGCACACGACGCGGCTCGGGAGGCCGAGGGCAGCCGGGAGGGAGCCCGAACCCGGCAGCGCAGCCCCGTCCCGTCCCGTCCCGTCCCGTCCCGTCCCGTCCCGCTCCGCTCCATCCCGCCAGGGCTCCCCTTGCCCTGCCGGCCTCGTCCCCGCTCACCCCGGCGCTCCGGGAGGGCCGCGCCGCCCGTCTGCCCGCAGCCCGCGCCGCTCCGCCGGTGCCGCGGCAGCTCCGGGGGCGGGCAGGAGCGCAGGTAGCACCGCCCGCCCCTCCGAGGGCGGGGGACCGGGCCGGCCCGGAGCCGCTTTCTATTTCGGTTTCCCGGCAGGAGCAAGCGCTGCGCTGTCCCAGTCCGGCCTCAAGCCCGGCCAGCGACCGCCTCCTGCTCCAGCCCCGGCATCGGCAATGGCCTGTCCCCGGCGGTGGCATCGGGAAAACCCTTCCCTACCGCCTCATGTTTCCGTGCGCACCTAGAGGGCGTCACCAGCGTCCCACGAGTTTAAACATTATCTGAATTAAACTTCAGCTGACACGCGGGTGGAATTTAGGACAACAACGTGAAGAATTTGTTAGTAGCAGCAGTATTAAAATATTCCGGGACACACTCGAGTGAGTTGGGTAATTACTAAAATTGGGTACGACTACTTTTTATTTCTTATCCATAAGGAAGAAATTCTTGCAAAACTGCGCTGCCCAATAGCTCCTCTTCAGCCAGTTCGTTTTCAAGGAGACAAGTAGCACCTTTAACAAAACCAGCTACCACAGCACTAGGAACTGATGAGTTGAATCTGTCTTATGGTGTCAGAAGACCCAAGATGGATTTTTGGTTCATTATCTGCAGTGTAATGACTACTTGCTTACTGAAGTCAAGGGCAAAACCATCATTACAGAGCTTCAGGACAAACATTCACCTTAGGCTTCAGTGTTTCTTAGTAGTTCATGCAACTCCTTTTCTCTTTATATTATCAAGATACCCTGACTCCCTTGTTTAAATGGTTTATGTTTGCAGCCTCTCCTGGGACATTCACAATTGTCCAAAGCATGCCACAAATGACATTCTGGAATGTGCAAGGGTTTTGACTCACTATAGGATTTTCTTTTCCTTAGCATCATAACTATGTATATGGAACCCTGCTAGCAGCGTTAACCTTTGCTCATACACGGTTTCTTTTCCAGACTATACAGGTGTTAAATACATTGGCAAGCCTCCATAAGGAAAGAGGTCTCTTCTTTATTGAGTTTGACTTTGTTCAATTGCACCACCCAGTGCATTTGCTAAAAAAAAACAAAAAACACCAAAACAAAACAAAACTGTGGGGGAAAAAAGGCAAGAAAGCTGAAGATGATTATAGAAAGACAAAAGAGAGGAAGGACTGAGGAATAAATGAGGCAATAGGAGAGGCCAGACCAAGGAGAGGGCGGAACTGGCAGCACCTTGAAAGTGGGAGGTTAAGGAGGCTGAGTAATACATCCTTAATGTGCAGCAGCTCTCACGCTAGGGTACTTTGGGTATCCTCTTTCAGGAACTTGCTTGTGGTATTGGTTTTTCCAAACCCACAATTAATTTTAATGAAACCCTTTTCTATTTTTAGACCAACTTCAAAGAGGGAAAGAGGAGGAGGTCCTCTCTCCACATGTCCAATTTAAGCAGGACAAGTCTTAGGATTCCAGAGGAAACTCGCCATGGAGAGATGGAGGAAACACATGTACTCCATGGCATGCATAAATAGGATATAAATTGAAATGCTCTATTTTAAAAGCAATATACTCTCTGTCTTAATGATCATCCTAGAATACAAAACCAAAATAATTAGGTCATAGCAATTACTTACAGACCCTGACATACTGGGAGGCTGCCACAAATATATACAGCACTGCACTGAAGACCTACTAACACACAAAGTGCCCTAACATACACTACAGATGTGCCCACAAGTTTTACATAGATGTTTTTAAAAACCAAAGAAAATGACATTTTCTTCAGTACATGCCTGGGGAACCATGCTGCAGACCAATGACTGCTTGCTGGGTGCCCTGCAGCTCTCTGCCCCAGCCACCACATTTCTGATCCCACAGGCTGCCTTCACTGCAGTATCTCTGCCTTCACAGCCCTGGCCCAGGACCAGACAAACAGAATCACAAATTCAGTTAGGTTGGAAAAGACCTCTGAGATCATCAAGTCCAACCTATAACCAAGCACTACCACGTTGACTAGACCACAGCACTGAGTGCCATGTCCAGATTTTCCTTAAATACCTCCAGGGACGGTGACTCCACCATCTCCCTGGGCAGCCTACCACAATGTCTAATCCCTCCTTCTGTGAAGAACTTCTTCCTAGTGTCCAATCTAAAACTATCCTGGCCCATCTTAAGACTATGTCCTCTTATCCTGTCACTGGTTACCTGAGAGAAGAGGCTGGCTCCCACCTGCCTACAACCTCCTTTTCTTCAAGCTAAACAACCCAGCTCCCTCACCCAATCCTCAAATGGCTCATTCTCCAGACCTTCCTCAGCTCTGTTGCCCTTCTCTGGACTCACTCCAGCACCTCAATGTCCTTCCTGAATTGAGGGGCCCAGAACTGGACACACTGAGGCACACTCAAGGTGTGGACTCACCAGTGCCAAGTACACTTCCCTAGCCCCACTGGACAACATCGCTGATACAGGCCAAAGGTTTTACTTCCCTTTTTTAAGTCAGTCTGCCAAAACCTACATTAGACCCTCACCACCTTGGCCATCTGACCCTTCATGTTCACCCCCATGCCCACCCTCACCCTCCTGCCCTTGGCTGGCAGGGCTCATGCAGGTGTTGACAGCCAGCCCTGGCCTGGGCTGCTGGTGCTTCCTCACACAGGGCAGGCAGCTGCTCACACCCACGCCTCAAGCCTGACCTGGGAACCTCACAAAATCACAGAATCTGCTGAGTTTAAAGGGACCCACAAGGATCACTGAAGTCCAGCTCCTGGCCCTCTGCACAGGACAACACCAAGAATCACACCATGAGCCTGAAAGCAGAGTCCAAAAGTTTTTTGAACTCTCAGGTTTCCTGCTGTGACCACTGCCCTGGAGAGCTTGTTCCAGTGTCCAACCACCCTATTAGGAGAAGAATCTTTTCCTAATATTCAACCCAAACCTCCCCTGACACAACTTCAGGCCATTCCCTCGGGTTCTGTCACTGGACACCACAGACATCAGTGCCCACCTCTCCTTCTCATGAGGAAGCTGTTGACTTCCATGAGGTCTCCCCTCCATCTCCTCTAGGCTGAGACAACCAGGCAAAGTGACCTCCAATGCTCCTTTTAAGTCGTCCCCTCAAGGCCCTTCATCCTCTTCGTTGCCCTCCTTTGGATGCTCACTAAAAGCCTTATATCCTTCTTACACTGTGATACCCAAAGCTGCACAGAGGCCTCAAGGTGAGGCCGCCCCAGGGCATAGCAGAGCAGGACAATCCCCTCCCTCGCCCGGCTGGCCATGCTGTGCCTGATGCCCCCCAGGGCGGGGTTGGCCCTCCTGGCCGCCAGGGCACACTGCTGGCAGCTGTTTGTCCCGTCTGCCCGGAGCAGGCACTGCCCGCACCCTGGGCTGCCCGCTCAGCTTTGCTCCCTCCCAGCAGAGCGCCCAAACGCGCCGGGCACCCTCAGCCCTTCCCGGCACGCACGGAGCGGGCTGAGCCCCGCCGGCCGCCGTGGAACGCGGCGCCTGCGCAGAGCGGGCGCGGCCGTGCCGGCCATGGCGCTCCGCGCGGGAGGCCCGGCGCTGGCGCTGCTGCGGGGCCGCCTGCGCCTCCCCGTGCCCGGCTCCCGCGGGCACGCCCGGCTCGGCCGCTCCGGTGCCGCCGCGCAGCCGGCTGCCGAGGAGCCGGGGGAAGGTAGGGACGGCTCGCCGGGCCTCGCTGCGTTCACCGCGGGCCTCGGTGCCGCGCAGCCGGCTGTGCCGGAGGGCGTGGGGAGGGGAGCGGCCGCCTGACCCGCTCGGCCCCACCGGAGGCGCCGGGGCAGCGCCCGCGTCCTGGGCGTGAGGAGCCCCGCAGGGCCCGAGCAGCCCAGCCGGGTGGTGAGGTCGGCCTGTGCCGTGTGGGGCTGCAGCCCAGGAGGCCGGAGTCCGCTGTCAGTGCCCGGGACGGGGATTGTTGATTGTAGATACCAGCTAGAGGTGAATCAAGTGACGGGGCTCACCCCGAGAGACCCCTCAAAAGGGCATAGGAAATGTGTGACTGGCACTTTAGTGTCTTTAGGACAAGCAGAGAACTAGTGATCATCAGTGCCGTGCTCAAGACTCTGCAAAGGACAGCAGAGCCAGAAGTTGTGAGATCATATAATCTCCGGAGCGTGTAAGCATGTACAGGTAGTAAATCAGGCAAAAATCACAGCCGTTCCGGCCTAATGCAGGTCCCTGTCACCCATCCATGGGACTTGTCTTTTTTGCATCTTGGTCACTTCATCCTTCTCAGTTTCCATGGAAACTGTGATATTTATCATCTTCATAAAGTGTTTCCTTAGTTTTCTGATAAAAAATGCTAGTATAAAACTTGGCTGTTGAAAGAGCTACTGTGATTATTATTTACAACAGTAAATAATACTGTGAGAGCTTAGTAAAGTTATAAAATGAAAGATTTTTTTTTAAATAAATAGTATCAAGTAATACTAACAACTATCATGTAATGAGACTTAAAGGTTTTCTTGAGGCCACGATATCTCATGGGCTCTTCAAAACCAAAAGCAGAATAAAGTGCTCTCTGCTGAATATCCCTGTGGCACATGGTAGCTGCTGGGAAATGCTCCCCAGCTTCCCAATCCAAATGACAAAAGGGAAGCAACAGCTTCACAGGCACTGCTGATATGATGTGGTCAGTGGATTAGTTTGAAAGCTATGCAGGGAAGTGATCATGACTTCAGATTTGGGAGATGGCCCCTTTGTATGCAAAAAGGAAAAAGTTCCATGTTTCTGGATGTTCAGCATGTGTTGATTCCGTGTGAATTCTGGAGGCTGTCAGCAGCAGTACAGATTGCCAGTGGTGTGATGAGATATGACTGCTCTATGGGTTTATTGTACTGGAGTAGATGAAAGTGTATTATTAAGTGAAAATTTTGAGTGGGTGTTTACTGTAAAGGAAGGTGCTGAGTTGTAAAAATAGCAAGTGTTGAATTGTTCCAAAGTGCTGGTTTTGTGGTATTTAAGAGAGACTGCCATTTCAGTG